GGCCGGGCGGCATCGCCCGCCTCGGGCGCCGAGTCCTGCAAGATGATCATGGAGCGCGCGCGCTTCTGCCGCTCAGGGTAGGGCAGGGGGCCAAGAGGTGCCCCGGGCTCGTAGAGACCAGCGGACCCCGCTCCCAGGCGTGCCTCCAGGCCAGGTTTGAAGCTGGAGCGCACGGTGTCGTAGGCGCGGCCCGGCGGCGGTGGCGGCGAGAAGGTGGGCGGCGGCCCTGAGTCGTAGTAGTAGGGCGCGGGCGGGGGCGGCGGCGCGGTCTGCGGCGGAGGCGGGATGCCGCGGCCCTCGCGCCCGGAGTCCTGCATCGAAGTACTCCGAGGGAAGCGTCCTTCCAGCAGGGACGCCAGCTTCTCGTCTTCCCCTGTGGACGGAAAGGCGTGGTGAGACCAACCGAGGCGCCTAGCGTCCCTACCTCTTGGAGGCCGACCCTGCCCGACTCCTCCCCGGGGTGTCCATGATCCCAGACACAAGTTGTCAGGGATGCCTGGCAGAACCCGGTGGGAGGCGCTAGCAAGCTCCAGAGACTGGAGAGGCAGGGGGTGAGGGATGAAGGGCTCGGAAGGTACAAGGAGCCTAGACAAGGAGGCCGAGCAAGACCCTCGTCTGGGCTCATCCCTGAGTGAGCTCTTGGGCCCCAGGCCCTGTGCCTGGCAGGGAAGAGTTCCACTCCAAAGGGAGGGTTCCAACAGCAGAGGCCAAGGGAGAACCCAAACCGACCCACCGGAGCCTGGGAAAACAGCCAGCCCTGAGTGGACACCCCTGGAAGGTGGTGGGAGTCCCCCACATGTGGGGATGGAGAGGCGGGGTAGACACAAAGGCCGAGCACGGCGGTCTCCAAAACATGGAGGTGGAAAAAGCCCTGTGGCAACAGAGGTAGGGAGATGGCCTTCCGGAAACGAGCCACACACTCTCCCACCACAAGAGTGAGGACTGCAGCAGGGGAGACAGGCCTGGGGAAAGGGTGCCCTGTGAGAAAAGCAGAGCCCCTATGCCTGGGACTCAGGCTGCCAGGAGGTCACCATGCAAGCGAAATGGAAGGGCAGGCTGAGAGCACCAGTGGGGTTTCAGTGCCACCCACTGTCAGCTGTGACCCAGGCCAGGCCCTGAGCCACTACAGCCTTAAAGCAAACCCCTCTGCAGCCCCACTCATGTCACCAGGACTCTGTGCCAAGGAGAGCTGGCTGTGCTCAGGCCCTGCCACCCGGCTAGAGCTTGGCAGAAGCCCGAGTCTCCTGGATGTGTGCACACCTGTGCTGGACAGCCCACTCCACAGAGACGCTGACACACAGGGGTCTCTGGCAGTGCCCTGTGCCCAGTCTCCCTCTGGGCTCAGCGAGCACTTTTACAAACTCACAGTACAGATCCCACTCCCTCCAGCCACCACCCTGCTCCGTTCCCCACCACCACACTGAGGTTGTCATGCCTGACAGCTCTTTGGAGCCCTTGGGGTAGCAAGAGGCTGCCCTGTGCAGACTGAGGCTTGAATTCTAGCCCTGCAGGTCTAGACATTCCTAACCTCTAGGAATCTCATTTTTCTCATCTCTGGAGGACTGCCTGCCAGTCATGGAGCCACTCTGCCCACAGCACAGACTGCAGCATCCCAGGGTCATCACGGCTACTGTTCTCAGGTCCCCTTCCCCACCTGCTGGTCAGACTGCCCAGGCCATCTGGGTCTGCTTCCCACTGCATCTCTTAAACAGTGTGTGAGCGTGCATAGGGCACCCACAAGCGTGTGCGTGAGAGGAGCTCACAGGAATAGCTGGCATACCTCGAGGATGCAGAAGGCGGGAGTGACGTGTGAAGATGAAAAGGGAAATTGAATGCTAATGGTGTGCCAAGTCTGACTCAGGGTATGGAAAAGCCCTCGCCTCTGCATGGCCTGGGGCTATTCTGATATCCCGAGGGTGCATGGGGCCCCTGGGGCAAAGGCAGACCCTCTCTGTCCACTCAAGTAACAGCAGAGAGCGTCCTGAGCAGTAATTGCATGCTAGTCCCTCTTGAGGTGCAGGACCTCGTCTATGACGCCTGCCCTGCTGAGCACTGCCTGCAGGCCCACACCGTGCCCCACCTGTGCGTACAGCCTCACTGTCCTTGAAGCAGACACCAGGTGCACGAGCAGGTCTCCGTGTTTACGGATGGGAATCCTGAAGATTCCAGGGTCACACATCCAGGGCATAGCATGAGAGCTTCAGGATCTGACAACTCAGCCACCAAGGGTATTAAAAAGAACGTCACTCAGTGCCTAAGTACAGGAGGGTGCAGCTGCCGCCAGCTTGAGACCTGCAGGGTCTGCCGTAGAAGAACAGACCATCTGGGCAGTAAGGGTGAGTGGCAAGCCTCGAGTATGGAAGACCTGGGTCAGAAGGAGGCACAAATGTCCCTAGATGAAACAGGAGAGGTTGGGCTGGTCCCCAGAGCCTCATAGTGGATCAAACTGATTGCTTTGCAGAAAGCCCCCTTTGGCCAGAGGGACAAGCCAGAGGTCAGAGCCTAGGCAGGAGGTCATGAGGACAAATGCAAGGCAGATGCAAGGCAATGAGGCCAGGGCAGGTAGAGTCATAAAGCAGGTGCACAGGCAGCCCTCCCTGCTTTTTCAGGTGAGGGAAGGATAACAAAAAACCTTGAGGACACCCAGGCCTTAAGCCAAAGAGGGCAAGGGAGCATCTCTTGTCTCCAAAGTAGCTGCAGCCTTTGCAGCCAGCTTCTCCACCCTCCCAGGTGTGGTGGGCACTCCCTGGTCAGCCCCATTTGTTCTCATACATATGCCTTGAAAGCCACTCTGAACCTCAGCAGTTGAGCTGCCTACAGACTTGCTGCACCCCCAGCACAGCCCTCAGACCCAGTCAGGGTTAGCCTAGACTGCTAATCAGCAAGGGTCCTTGCGTGGGTGAGAGATCAGAGTTTGGGCAGTTGGTTGGCCAGGAGTGAACAGAGAATCACAGATAGGACAGCTACGTGATCTCGGGCAAGTCATTTCAATACTTGCTTTTGTTGCCCATCTATAAAGCAGAGGCACCAGTGGTCCCACCCATTAAATGAGCCAGTGGGCATGAAATGCTCAGCGTCCAGCCTACAGTGAGTGGTAAGTGGGGTGTGCTACGCTGTCTGCCCGATGGTGGGTGTGATGGACATATGCTCAGGCAAGTGGACAGGTCTAGCGGGTGGAGGGACACACAGGTGGGCAGGTGAGGGAGACTGGACTCTCAGAAGGATGCACAGTGAGCGGGGCTTCTAGACCTCCCAGTCTGGGGTCAGTGGCAGAGTGATGGTGGGGAAGGAGGCTGTGGTGGCCTAGTATACAGTCTGCAAAGGAGGGAAAACCAGGACGTGCTGCTCCAAAGCCCTGGCAGGAGGGGCTCAAGGAGAATGAAACTCAATGCACAGAAGTCAGGAAGAAGTCAGAAGTCAGGTTTGTGTCCACCGGGAAGGGACCTTGATGGGAGCAGTTTCCATGTGGGTCTGGACGGAGATAGCCTGCCATAGGCTGAGGGATGAGCACAGGGAGATACCAAGGAGAGGTGACTTTTGGGGGGAAATTAGCTGTAAGGGGGAGGAGAGAACTCTACTTAAGAGGGGAGGGCGGGTAGTTTTAGGGCCGGAAACTTGGTATATGCTCAGGAGCAGGGAGCATCTAGGAGAGGGGACAACTGACTTGGGGGCAGGGACACTGGTGCCCACAGGAGGGACAAGGAGCAGTGGGTAGGAGAGAATCCAAGGGTCTCTCTAGCAACATACCTCTGGGTTTGAGGAAAGACCAACCCTACATATGTCCACAGGCTCACGAGACCCCTAGGCTGGAGCCAGGAGAGGGAGGCTCAGGAGGGCCCAGCAGGGGGCAGGAGAGGCAAGGTCCTCCGAACCCAAGCCCTCCCAGGCCCCATGCAGCCCCACAGCCCACATACCTACAGACTTGGTCCGTGGGATCCCCTTCCGCAGGGAGCCAGGCAGCTTCTCTGGGCCCGGGAGGCCCTGGCGCTCAAACAAGGACTGTGGGTCAGGGAGGGGAACATAGAGGTTCCAGGGCGCTGGGTCCCCAGGTCTCGACCCACTCCCACCCATTCTCCTCACCAGAGACCAGATGCCCCATGCACTCCCTCCAATAGGGCCGGTACTGCCTGGGCCAGGAGTTTAGACTGCAACCACCCAGCGTGGTCACTGTGGCCAGGTAGGTGCAGCCATGGGTTTGGCCTTGGATAGGGAGAGCCCAGAAGGCTCCAGGTGAGGGGGGCAGGGCAGAAACACAGTTCAAGGAGGCCTCCGCAGACCCACCTAAGTCTCCCAGAAGGAACACAGAAACTGCAGCACCATAGCCAGGGCCCCAGCAGGAACCCCGGCACTGGGCAGCCATTACTCGGGTCTCCTAGAGGCCACAGACTGCCTCTCCCAAGGAAGGGTGTAGCCAATGGACTCCCCTCAGAAGGGGGTGTGATCCTCGAACCCATCCCCAGAGCCGTGGCCCAGTTACGCACACTGATCTCCGCAGGGGTGATCCTCCGACTGGTGGGCCGCTGTTTGACCGTGGCGGCTCTGGAGTCGGCATCCATGATGTCCGGCCTCAGCG